CACAAGACGATGAATCAGAGGATGGGAGTCCATAACCCAGCTCTGCTAGGGAGCAGGCCCCTGGATTTCAATCCAGCCCAATGTCCACGGGCAACTGGCCCATGAAGCATCCCCTGATCCCAGCTGCAATCACAGGGCTCAGCATCTTTGGGAAAAGCCAGGCAGTCGGGCTGTGTCTGCAAGACACCTCCCCACCTTGCAGAGGCACCAGGGGATGCTAAATCCATTAGCAAAGAGCCTTCAGACGTGTGGGTGGAAGGTACCAAACGAGGTCAGGCTGTTCATTAATGGCACTGAAAAGGAGCCACCAGGGATTTCACATCTCAGGTGCAGTTTGCCCACTTTGAATTTCTCACATCGTGTGCCTGCAGGACATCAGCTGTGGAGCCCTGAGATAACTCACCCTGGTGCCTCAAAGCTGGAAATCCCACACAAACCTCCAAAATTAAAGTTTCTTTGGGCAAGGGCTGTCAGATATGAACAGAGCAGGGAGAGGAGTTAGACAAGGAGGTCCTGAGGGGAGGGAACCCCTTCAGCACCTCCTGTCAGAGCAGTAACACACAGGATGCTTGACCTGGTTTTAGAAAGGAGGAATTTTTCAACAGACCCGGCTGGAAAGGCTTTCTAGGAAGCCTGTTGGAAATCCATATCCTTACTACATCCCCTGATTGGGGTGAATCAAGGCAGCAAAGAACAGGAATAAAGAACCAGCACTAAAACTGAAGCTGGGCCCTGCTCAGGCACCTCAGAGCCTGCCTGTCTGTCCTAAACTTTGTCAAATCTCCCAGCCAGATCAGCTTCAGATCGATGTGACTGATGATAATGACAGGTGTGATAAACAAATGACAGCCTGTCCTGCAAGGTCAGCCTTTTGCTGGCATGAAGAGTGCCTGGCACATTTGGGTAGGGAGCAGAGGCAGATCCTGCCCAGCTCTGCTCACACAAAACCCTGTCAGCATCATTTCAAGGGGGACATTTCCCCTCCCAGCTCTGGAGAGCAGGCAGGGCTTGCAGAGGAGCTCTCATGCCCTCCTTGGAAGGAGGAGAGCTGATGCTGCATTCCTCCCTGGACCAACAAGGTCTTGCTGTCACCGTCATATTTTCCAAAAAAATCCCTTTGCCAGAATTTCTCTCCTGGGAAGCTGAGAAGCCTCAGGGAAAAAGGCAAACAAGATCATCTCCTTTGCTTCTCCTGTGTTTTGCTGCTTTGGAATGTGGTTTGGACATTGTTTACCAACAGGTGATTGTTTCATTGGTTTCATGTGAATTATTTTTTATTTATTGGCCAGTCAGGGGCCAAGCTGTGTTGGACTCTGGAGAAAATAATGAAAACTCATGACTCTATCTTTTAGCCTTCTGTCTGTATCCTTTCTGTATTCTTTAGTATAGTTTAGTATAGCATTCTTTAATATCATATGGATCATAAAATAATAAATTAACCTTCTGAGAACACGGAGTCAGATTCATCATTCCTCCCTTCGTCTGGGGTCCTTGAAAACGCCAGAGTCCTGCCATCAGCTCCCTGCTGCCTTCAGCAGCTGTGCATTCCCCTCCTGCAGCTGTGCATGGGTGCACAGCACCGTGAGCTGGGCTCAGCCCTCACACAAGCCCTGGCACCTCCCAAAACCATCAGCCCTCCATCCCTGTGTGTGCTGCAGCAGGCAGCATTATCCCAGGGCTCCGCTCCAGACACCTGGCTCTGCAGAGCAGCTACAAAAACAAACAATCCGGTATTTCCTAGAGGGGAATTCAACCCCAGCAGACCTGGGGAGACCGCAGCACCTGGGCAGGATCAGCACACGGCAGCCAGGAGCAGCTCCCATTGCAGCACTCCCAGCCCTTGTCCCGCTCCCACCTGAGGCAGATTTTGCCAGAGTCACTCAGGTCTGTCCCTGGCCACCATCCCAACCCACCAGGAGGCAGATGGATGTCCCTGTGCAGGCTGCCAGCAGCGAAGGTGAAAGTTTATTGCTGTGCCTTTGCATTTCCCTCGCCATAAACAGGAAACAAGCAGCATTAGACTCACTAAATAAAAAAGCCAAACCAGATAGGCAAGGCTGAAGATGCTGCTTTTTTCCATCCACACCCTTTTCCCTCTCATTCACATACAAATTACTGTTGCATCCAGGTGGGAGGAGAGTTTGAAGAGGGGAGGGGAAGGGGGGGAGAGCAGAAATGTTTGCCAAATAGGCTGAGGGATCAGAGGCAGCTTTCTCATAAAGCGCAGGGCTGACCCACAAACTGCTAGAAAACCTCAAACTCCGCAAGAGTTTCCCTCCCTCCCCGTTTGCAGGGTGAGAGCAGCCCCAGCAGGGAATTGGGAGGCAGGGAAGGGGTCTAACCAGGTCACTCCACCCTTCCCATCCCGCCTGGAGCACAACACGGGAGGCAGGGAGGGAAGCAGACCTGAAATGTAGGCCATCTACAAAGGCTGGGGGAGAGGCTTAAATGATGTGAGATTTATGATCTTCAAAGTGATTAGAGCCCAGCACTCCAAATAAAGGCAAAGAGAGCTCCTGCAGTCAGTTTGGAGTTGGGTTTCAAACCATCCTGCCCTGGCTTCGGTTTGAAAACTTGAATTGCAAGCTAACGAAAAAAAAAAAGACATCCAAAACCAACCTCAAACCCCAAACCAAATTAAAAAACCCACCAACCTCCACCCCTAATGAAAGAGCACAGCACCTGATTTTACATGAAAACACTTTGATATTTCCAGCTCTCCTCTCTTCCTTTTTTCTCGTCATTTGAAATCTATTTGCTGAATTGAGGGTGAATTCACCAACAGCTGAGGTCAACCCTAAATGTGAGTGTGGAGCCCGTGTGCGTTCGGGCTCCTGCTCATTTAAGAGAATAATTTAAAATAATAATTATTATTTTAAATAACAATACTTTCAAATAGTAATTATTATTTTAAATAATAACTATTTTAAATCACTTTACCCATGGCCTTGGGAGGGCCAAGAGAGGGAGACAAAGAGCTGCTTGCACAGGCCTGTGTCCACTCTGGGACTGTTGCATCCCATCCCTGGCATCACTGCAAACCCCCCTGGTGGGCTCTGGGGAATCAGAGCAGAGCAGAAATAAAATAAAACAAGAAAACGAGCTCATTCAGAGTCATTTGCTTTTTAAACCTTGCTAAATGCCCAGCTAAGCTGGCTATTCAGTTACACGGACAAGCTGGAATAAATTAATTGGATTTTGTGGTGCTGTTTTGGTGGAAGGAGGAAAATAAAAGTGGAAACGCTGGGGAAAAAAAAAATAAAAAAGAAAACAAAGGTGAAGCCACAATTTCTTTTTAGGAGGAGGATATGTCTACTGCCTGCAAGCCTGGCTGCCCCCACAACTTCCCCAGCATCCCTGAGAGGAGCACAGAGGATGGGTCAGATCAGCGTGGGTGTAAATCAGCACTGCTCCACCACCTCTCCTCCCTTAACCCCGGCCCAGCTTCCAGCCCCAGCACCTTTGTGGTGCTGCCATGGGAGAATGACCTCGTGCCCGTTTCTACCTGCAGGGAATTTCCTTTTATCAGCCCTGCAGAGCAGGTTGGCTCCTTCCCCGGGTGGGTGCAGAGCGAGCCCGCGCTCTGGGCTGCACACACAGGGCTTTTTGTTTGCAGCTGGGGATTCCAGAATCCTGGAAGATGGCTGAGCGTGTTAGGACACCTTTGGTAGGAAAGGGAGACCCACCCAAAGCTGGAGCAGCCAAGGCAAACAAACAAACAGCGGCGTGGCCGACGTTTGTCACCGCGCGGTGACATTTGTCACCGCGCAGCCACCGAGGGAAGCTGGAGGCACAAAAAGCCCCGTGGAGGAGGTGCAGCTGCCCAGTGCTGCTCACAGGGAGCCTTTGGGGAGGGCTGGAGCCCTGGGCTTTGGGGAATGCACATGGGAAGTGGCTGGGTGGCTGTGCCAACGCTGGCCTCAAGTCTGTGCGTGGAGTCCCAGCCCCTGGTGCATTCCTGGCTGCAGCTCCCATCCTGCAGCCCTGCAGCCCTGCAGCAGGGCAGGGTTTGGCTCTCCAGACTCCTCTTGGCCTTGCCAGGGCTCTGCTGGCCACAGGAAGCCTCAGCTCTGGGCTGAGAGAGCATTTTCCTGAAATCTCAGAATGGTTTGGGCTGGAAGGAGCCTTAAAGCTCATCCCATGGCACCCCTGGAAGGAGCCTTAAAGCTCATCCCACCCCACCCCTGCCGTGGCAGGGACACCTTCCACTGTCCCAGGTTGCTCCCAGCCCTGTCCAGCCTGGCCTTGGACATTTCCAGGGGTCCAGGGGCAGCCCCAGCTGCTCTGGGCACCCTGTGCCTCCCCACCCTGCCAGCAGAGCTCCTGTGTCTGCACAGCTCCAGGGGCTCCAGAGGGCTGTCACCTCCTGGTGTGACACTCAGGGATTTTCAGAGCCACACTGGAAGCTCTGCAGGCACTCACAGAGGCAGGGAACTCTTTCAGCTGGACAAAGCAGGAGGAGAGGAGCACCCCCAGCAGGGACACGGCCCCTCAGCTGCTCCTTTTGCAATTGGGGTTTGCTTGTCCCGTATTTTTATCTGCTGCCTTGCAGACAGGAATTTGACCTGTGCTCTCCAAGACCTCAAACCAGCTCATTTTTAGGGCTGGCTGACACTCCTTGCCCTTGTCCCTGCCCACCAAGGTGCTGCCAGTGCCAGTGTCCCAGCACTGGGAGGGATTTGTACCCTTGCCACCATCACTGAGGTGCTTTTTGTTTCTAAAGGACGATCTAAAAAACTGTAAAAGCCAGAAAACCCCTCAAGCAAATGGTCACTTAAAGGTACTCTGTAATTAGCTGAACTTCTATGAATTAGGGAGAGGGAAAGCAGAGGTGCAATCTGTCATTGTATCCCACAAGGGGAACTGGGAAGAAGTTCTGTGGTCTGCTTAATGGCAGCTTCTGACCTAACAGTTTTTATCTCTTTGCAGCATGAGGAGCAAATAAAAAACAGCCATTCCAGAAAGGAGGAGAATACCTGGGAAGCCAGGGAGCATCTTACCTGCCTGTTAAAGTCCAGCCCATTCTGTTCATTCCCTACAAGGAAACAAAGAGAAAAACATCTCAGTATTAATGACAGTCAGCACCGGTGGGAGCTTTCCAAACCTTGGGACACACATAACCAAAAAACTGGCCCTGGGAGAGCAATGAGAGGAGGAGGAAGGTGCAGAAATGGAAGGATGAAGCCTTCTGCAGCATTTAGGTGGTGCCAGCCTTTTGCTGAGGGATAATGAAAGTGTTCCTGCCTGGGAGATACCTGGCCAAGGGTGGGGGAAAGCACGAGGGAGATTCCAGCAGAGGCGAGCTGGAGGACATCAGCAGTGCTCAGGGGAGTCCAGGGCTGGCTGTGGGGAAGGCCAGCAGCCAGGTGGCCAGGGCTGCTCACCCAGGCCCTTCAGGAGCCCGCGTGGCACCGGGTGGTTGCGGGTACCTGGAGGAACACAGGGTGCCGTGGGGTTGTGCTCAAGAGGCGTCTCCTTGATTCCAAAAGAGATTGGCAGGCACAGGGGGAAAAATCAGACAGGTTTCAGCCTGAAGGTACCGCACAGGCCCTCACTCATTCCCCTTTGATGATAAACATCCCCCCCCCCTCCCCATCGCACCTGCCAAATTCATCAAGAACATCACAGAGCAAAGGTTGTGCTCTCCGCAGAGCTGAATGCTTTAAGGGATTCCACGAAGCTCTCGAGCTGCAGAGGCAACCCCAAGACACCCCTTCCCTCTGCAGCACATTCCCCAGCCCTTTCCCTGCCAGTCCAGCCCAGGTTGTGATCAAGAGCCTGGAATTGTTCACAGCCCACTGGCACAAGCCCCCAGGCCTCCTGCTCCTGCTGTTTTTTCCAGGATAACTTTCCCCGTGCCCTGTGATCTGATCAAGCTCCAACACATTTTCCAGCAGTTCAGGGCTCCTGCAAAGCGCTGGGGAGAGGCTGTGCAGGCAGGAGGGCAAATCCAGCTCTGCCATGGACTTTCCTCAGCTGAACAAGCCTCTATCCTTTCCCAGGACATATTTCTCCATGCACAGATTATTCCCAGGTGAATCAGTGTGGATCCTGAGGGGGAGTGTGCTTGGTACAATTATCCACGGATGGCAAAACACTGGGGAGTCAGGGATAACAGAGCTTCGTGGCTGCTCTCTGCTGTCTAGAAACAGCCCTGGAGATTTAATCTGTGACATTTGAGAAGCACTGACTGTGGAAACAGAGCTGTGGGACCGTGCTGTCGAGCAGGGCCACGGCAGAATGAGCTGCTGCCCCCTCAGTTTGACATCTGCTCACCCTCTGCACCCCAAGCAGCTCTGAGCTTCCTCCAAATCTGAAATCTGCTCACCCTCTGCATCCCAACCAGCTCTGAGCTTCCCCCCCAGTTTGAGATCTCCATCTCCTCACCCCCTGCACCCCAAGCAGCTCTGAGCTTCCTCCAAATCTGAAATCTCCTCACCCCCTGCACCCCAAGCAGCTCTGAGCTTCCCCCTCAATTTGAAACCTCCATCTGCACCCCAGCCAGCTCTGAGGTGCCTCCCCAGTGCTAAAATCTCCTCCATCTCCTCACCATGCACACCCCAGCCAGCTCTGAGCCCTCTCCCCCAGCCTGGCTGCATTTCTGCCCTGCTCTTCCTCCCATCCTGCTGTCTCCCAGCATTTTCCCTCCCCAATCCCAGCCCTTTATCTCTTTTCCCCGAGTAATTCCCTCGCTCCAACCCCCTCTGCTCCCTGTCCAGCTCCCTCCAGCTGCTCCCTGCCCAGGAATGGGGTTCATTCATTGCGTTCCAGCTCCGTTCCAGCCCCAAAAGCCAAGGAGGGCACATCCAGCGATGGGAATGCTGATAGCGTTAATGGGTGATCACAATCAGCATCCACACACCTGAGCAGGACCGAGGAGCATCTCCAAGGCCTGCAGTTTCTACCTTTGAAACCCCCACGGGGTGTGTGGGGGGGTGTTTGATGCGATCTGGAGGCAGCAGCTGAGGGGAAGCAAAGCCAGGAGGGAAGGAGGAAATAAAAGTTCCCAGCTGCTAAAATAGAACAGGAAGGAAAAGGTAACCTCCTGGTTTCTTGGAGACAGGAGTTTCACTCACGTTCGGTGGTGATGAGGCAAGATTCAAAGAGCTGCAGGGGAATCCCTGGTCCCAGTGACGGCGGCTGAGTCACCAGCATTCACCCCAAAACTTGGAACCCGAGAGGCACGGCTGGAACGGAGCTTCCCTGCACAGCCCCATCCTCCAGCTCAGCCTTTCCCTGCACAGCCTTTCCTCCAGAACAGCCCCACATCCTCCAGCACAGCCTTCCTTCCCTGCACAGCCCCATCCTCCAGCTCAGCCTTCCCTGCACAGCCTTTCCCTGCACAGCCCCACATCCTCCAGCACAACCTTTCTTCCCTGCACAGCCTTTTCCTGCACAGCCTTTCCTCCAGACCAGCCCCACATCCCCCAGCACAACCTTCCCTGCACAGCCCCACATCCTCCAGCACAGCCCCACATCCTTCCCTGCACAGCCTTTCCCTGCACAGCCCCGCATCCCGCAGCACAGCCTTTCCCCCTTTCCCCATCTCCTGCTTTTCCCTCCCTCCACAGGCACATGACACACTCAGACCTTTTCTTTCCCCTACAAAGTCACCCACAGCATCCTCCAAGCCCCTGCAGATCAGCATGGGGGGGGATTTGGCAGCACCCCAGCCAGGAATTCTGTGCCACTCCTGGGGCTGGCACTCCCTGGGGTGCCTGAGGCTGAGGGAGCTGCCCGGGGCTGCCTGGGCAGACAGAAGGAGCAAGAGGCACCTCCAGAGGCCATTCCTACCCTATCTGAGCCACCCATCTTCCTGGCATCAGTGGCCCTCTGGAGATGACAATTCCTCCTGGCTGGCTCCAAAGGGGCAACCAGGTCAGCCTTAGATGTCCAAGAGGGAGAGATTTAAAACTGGGAGGGGTGATTTCTGCTGCCAGTGGTTATGTAAATGGGAGCTGGATACACAAATCTCTGCAGGACCCACGAGTGTTTGGGTGCAGATTTATTTGCAAACAAATCTGGCCCTTTTTTTTTTTTTTTTTTTTTCCTCTTTCAGTAAATGTAAGAGTCAAGTGATTGCAGCTGCGAGCCAAGGTTTGGGTGTGATAGGGATAACAACTCTCCTCTTTCAGTTGAACTGTAACTTTCCTACAAATGCTTTACAAAAATAGCCTCAGCTTCCTCCCAGTTTCTGTCAACATCAGGACTCACACTGCAGTAGTCATTTCTCTCCTTAAAGGAACGGGCTGTTCAAACAATCTGCACTTAAGATTTAATCTTTTCTAGCTCCAGGAGATAAAAAGAAAGAAAAGTGTAAGTGGCAGCAGATTCTCTCTCCTGCTGCAAACTGCCAGAACCCCACTCATTTTAATGGAGTTTCAGCCCAGCCAACAACTTGATATTTTTGCTGCACGAGCCAGACACAATGGCATCCAGAACCTCCAGAATCTGCTAGATCAGTCCTCCCCTTGCTGCAATTCCACGAGGCTGGGGAAGCCCTGGGATTTCAATGGGGCAAGGCAGCTTGGAGCCCCTGCAATTCCCAGCAGCTCACCCATCACCAAGGCTTCACCCTGCTGCTCTGGGTGCTTAGAAAAGCAGAGATAAGCTCAGCTGGCTCCCCCAGCCCGGCAGCCCAGGGTTGTGCTGCTCTCCTTGGTTCACCTGGCAGCTGTTTTGCATAGCCCTGGCATCAGATCTGGTGCGAGTTTGCCTGGGGAGGTTTCTCTGGGGATGGGAGCAGCGCAACAGTTCCGGGCAGTTCCCCCCACCCGCTGCCATTCCCTGGAAAAGCCAGGGAGAGGGATCCACGGGGAGCTGCAGAGCTGCAGAGCCAGTCCAGCCCTGCAGGATAAAAGCAGCCTGATGGGGGAAAAGGAAAATCAGGGCGACCTTCATCTTCACGCAGGCAGGTGTCACCTCCAGGGAGTGACACCAGCAGGGCTCATCCCTCTTCCCAGCTGCACCCTGAGCTCACCCCAGGCTCTGCAGGGACAGGGGCATGAGGAGGTGACCCCAGCCTTCAGCAGGTGTTGGGAATTCCTGCAGGGAATGTTTGGGAGGGAGATGGGGACAGCTGAAGGGCGCTGGGGGAGCAGAGCCAGGCAGAGACCAGGCAGGGGCTTCAGCCTGGGCTGAGTTCTGAACCTTTCAGGTGCCTCACTGGCAGCCAGGTGCTGCAGGCTCCCTTTGCAGCCCTGCAGAGGAAGCAGGAGCTTCCAGAGGGCAATTCCTCTCGCCCCCGAGTTAGATGGCACAGGGATGAATCACCCTCTGCACATCCCTGTTCCCAGCCTGGGGTGAGCAGGGCAGGCTGCAGCCTCAGAGCATCCAATATCTAAAATTAAGATTAATCTCACCTATCCTGGAGATTTTAGCACCCCGACTGAGGAAGCACAATGCCACGGGAGATTGGCAGAGCAGGCTGGGTGCAGGGGGCCTCTCAAGGGGCATTTCTGATAAATTCACTGGCTCCAATCTCTCAGCCCAAACAAGGTGTGAAGTTAAGAGATTGCCCAAGTGCTGGGAGAGAGAAGAGTGGCAATTACTGTAACTATAACCAGTTCTTGTCCCACAGGCTGTAAACCAAGCCAAACGCTCAGCTGCACTGAAGGAATGAGCAAAACAAGATATTCAGCATGAAATACTCCTCAGGATTTCCACTGATTTTGGAAATTCGGGCAAAACCAAGGCAGTGCCTTCATGCTGCTGTTCCCAGCAGCCACACCAGTGATTTTCCCAGAAGCAGCAGGAATCCCTGAACTCTGGGAGCTCCCTTAAGTCACCTTTTCCCCATGGAGTGGCCATCCCTGATTCCCTCCAGCAGCATTGGAGGGAGCAGGAACTGCAGCTGAGCAGGCACCAGGCAATTCCCTGGATTCCCACATGCCCTGCTGGGATGCTTGATGCTCCCAAGGCACTTTAAAAAAGTGCTTTTTAAAGTGTGAGCAGGATGGGGAGTTCCCGAGGCAGCCAGCTAGGGCTGCAGTTTTAATCTGAACTCTTTGCTCCAGAGACACAAAAACCCCAAAC